AAATTATATGCCATTATTTGACTTCAAACAATATATTGCAGAAAATTTATGCAAGGTGGGCAAGAAAAGTTTGCCAAAGAAAAGGGGTCATTATCAAATGTTAATTCACCCAGAAGTTCCATAACTGAAGCAGAAACTCCAAAATCCAAAAAGCGGCTTACTTTGCGTCAAGATTATCCAAGCAATGAAGTACGTATAGACGCCTTTGGCCACTTTCCCCAGTGGGACGATACAAGATTGATGTGCTAAAATGACTGTAATTTTAGATCTTCTGTTAAATGTACTAAATGTAACGTATTTTTATGTTTAAACAAAGATAGAAATTGATTCGTAGAATTTCACTCCTAAAAATAATAACTAGTTTAAGTGCATAAGAAGACATATTGGGACCTGTCTATTTTTGTACATTTTAGGTTTATTGCATAGGAAGCCATAGGAGGCTTATTTTTTATTTTCTTAATTAGTAGAAAATTGTTGTAAATTCTTTGGTAAATATACTTCTTTATAACACCAAGATCTTTTTTTCTATCTAAAACATAATTCATGCAGACATAAAGAGTTAAAAAGGAACTATAACGTTAAAAGGGTTTTATTGTTTAATATGGGCGATAAACCTTAAAATAAAGAAAACAGCGGAATGTTCCAATTTAAAGGCGTGCGTTGTTGAGAAAGGGATGACTTTATCCCTATGCACTAGGGTGCATTTGGTTGAATTCTATGATGTCTAGGTCAATCGGCAAACAGTTGCCGATTGACCTAGACCATATGCGTTTTGACAATTTCCAATAAAAGAATTGAATATATAAGAAACTGCTGCTACTGGATCATGTTTTTTTCTTTCTTCTCAATCATGTGTATTATTAAAACGAAGAGCTGATAAAATGACTGCAAAACGCTTTTGATTCATGACTTCTAAAAATTTCCCTGCTAGTTCCATCTGTTGGAAAAAGCGTTTTTATATTCTCATAGTTCGATTTGAATACCGCAGAATATACGAGGAGTCCTCTAAAAGCTTTCATCTTCGTTATGTCAATATCCTTGAGATCATGTTTATTTACATCATTATACTTTATTTTCATTAAATTCAATTTATGATTGGTCTTCTTCTAGTTCCATGACCGTTATCGATCGTTGGATATCATGTTGGCTACCATGTTCGCCATCGTGACTTTATTGACAGCAGCTCTAAATAACGATGTAGTTGATTTTCAATACCATTGCCTTAGATTTTTCAGCCATAATGCTCTTCGTCTACCAGGACCGCGATTACCTTGGATCTTTCCCTGAATGATCAGATGTAAAAGATCATATTTTTCAGGGTGTCTTATAATTACGCACATAATTACGACCCAGCTTATGTTAAGTAGTCGTCTGTATACCCACATCTCAAAGGCTGTCAAGCGTTTAAGCATAGCCTCAGTTAGAGTCCACGCTTTCACTCCATACAGCAGGACAGGAAAGATGTAGCAAGATGTCATACGAACTCTAAGTACAATGCTAAGATCGTGACTGCAAAGTACGTTTCTCATTTTTACAAAGGCAGCTCGGGCTTGTTCTATTCGGCCTTTAATTTCTGCGGTTGGATCCCAGCTCTCATTAATATTACTGCCGAGATACACGAGTTTCTCTACTCTGTCCAGTGTAGCATCTCCGACTTTTATACCGTCATCCTGTATTTAATTTTGTTTGCTAACTATCATATATTTAGTTTTCTTAACGTTGAGTTTTAATCCATACTGATCATAAGTCTGTTTTATTTTGTTCATTAGATTTTGAAGGTCTTCTCCGCAATTGGCAAGAACTAAGGTATCGTCGGCATATTTAATATTGTTGACGGTTACTCCATGTACAATAATACCTTCGGCTGTCTCCATTAAGGCTTCCTTAAATATTTCCTCCGAATATAAGTTAAAAAGTAAAGGCGACAATATACAGCCTTGTCTCACTCCTCTTTTTATATTTATTTCATCCGACAGTTCTTGTTCAACCTTTATTCTTGCCACTTGATGCCAGTATAGATTTGCAATTATTTGTAGATCTTTATCCTCCAATCCAGCTGTTTCCAATATTTCTAGCATTTTGTTATGTCGGACTTTGTCAAAAGCTTTTTCAAAATCGATTGCACAAATGTACACATTTTGATTTATATCTCTGCATCTCTGTACTATCACCTGTATACTAAACAAGGCTTCTCTTATACCCAAGCCACTCCTAAATCCAAATTGTAGTAGTAATGCTAATTCTGTCCTCCAAAAGCGTGTAAATTCTGCTGTGTATTACTCGCAGGAAGATCTTCAAAACGTGACTCATTAGACTTATTGTCCGATAATCACCGCATGTCTTTGGACGATGTTTCTTAGGTGTTGTGACAAATGTCGACTTTAACCAATCAGTTGTTAATATGCCAGTGTCATAAATTCTGTTAAAGAGATTACACAGAGCTTTAATTCCATTTTCTCCCAAAAACATTAGTATTTCAGCACTTACTTCATCTTGGCCAAGTGCTTTTCCATTTTTTGCCGTTTGTATTGAGCTTCTTACCTCACTTTTTGTTATAGATGGACCTGATATAGCAAAGGGTGTATAGTGCTCTACTCTCTCATCTTTAAATAATTCAGAAATGTAGTTTTCCCATTCTTTTAACTTTTCATTGATGTCTAATATTCTGTCCGTTTCTGTCTTCTAAACTTTGGGATACTTGTTTCCGTTTATTTCCAGCGACCTCTTTTAATTTCTTGTGCAGATGAAATGTATCGTGTTTCTTTTCATATTGTTCAATTTCATTACATTCTTTACTATGAAATTGTGTTTTCGCGTGTCTTATCTTCTGCCTGATTATTGCGTGGATCCTCTTGTATTCGTTTTTATCTTTATTTCTGACTTCTCTTCTTTGATCCATAAGTCTCAGTATTTCTTCTGTCATCCACCCTTGTTTTTTCTTTCTTTTAGCGCACTCAATTTTGTTTCTTGAACAGTCTTTAAGATGTCTTTAATTCTCGTCCAGTTTTCCTCCGTACTTTCTTCTTTGCTTGATGTTAACTTCATTTTTTTTTTCTAATATACTAGTTATTTCTTGTTTGACAGTATCATTTAGCATCGTTTCTCTATCAATAGTAACTCTTTGCTTATTTGTCCTTGCAACTCTTTTTAATCTCAGTCTTATTTTTCCTACTAAAATATTGTGATCTGTTGGTACATCTGCGCCTGGATACGTTTTTACTGCTAATACTGAATTTCTGTATCTCTTATTTATACATATGAAGTCTATTTGGTTACGAACAACTTGTATCTGCTGGTGATTTCTAGGTGTAAAGACGACGTTTTGAAAGTTTGAAAATTGTGTTCGTTATTACTAATTGCTTTTCTATGCAAAAATATGCCAACCTATCTCCTCTTTCATTTCGTATTCCCAGACCATATTTCCCTATGATATCTTCCTGTTCACCTTCACCAATCTTTGCATTAAAATCTTCCATGATAATATTGAGATCGTATTTCTTTGTAGATGCTAATACTTTTTCTAAATCATGATAGAATTTTTCAATTTCTTCTTGTTCATAGTCTTTCAATTTATGATTGGTCCACTGAATAATACATAATAACATATTTTCGTTAAACAATAACTGCCATACCTTTAGAGGATCAGCTTCCTCTCCAAGACTTGTGTTTTTGTTTCTAGGACAGGAATTTTTGTTACTAAATTATGTTTCCTTGTACGAGATACTGGTCGAACTTAAGATTTACACCACCTGAATCGGTTTTTTTCCGTAGAAATATGTTTGATTATTAGTCTTAACTATATTGTCTTCCGAAATATTTACTTTATCACTTTCCGTAGAAATGTCTGAAGCAGTCTGGCTATCAAATTCCAAATAAATATCATCTTGTACTTGATCAACATCACTAGCGTCACTATCTAATTCGTCAAACCACTTCAAAGCTGTATCTTCAAAATCAGCATCTGCAAAATGGATTTTTTTTATGGACCGGCCATGATTGTAACAAATACGCGACGTTTTCAATGAAACAAAATGTAACCTGAACCGAGACGTGTCGTCTAACAGTGGCTTCCCACGATCGGCAATTCTACAGATCATCGCGGACAGCCGATCAGCACGGATGAGAACGCACCGCAGACAGAGCTCTTCCTACGGTCCGTGACAGTCTGTGTAGGTTTGTGACAGTATTGTTTGATTATATCATAAAAAGGCCACTCAGGCTTGTAAACATTAAATTCGGCATTAAATTATTTCTCTTCTTTTTTAATTCTTTAATCGAAATAGTACTATTCTTCAATTGATTTTTTATTCGGTTCCATACATCGTATATATCGGCTCCGTTTCTTATGATCTGGTGCCGTAGAATTCCATAAATTTGTTTTATTTTGATACAAATTTAAAAAATCAAAAATAACTTCGTTTGTCCATTCCATTTTTTAGCAAAAACTGCAAAACCACTTTGACAACACTACAGACAACTACTCGTGTCAGCGAATGAAAATCTTCTGACTTGCACTTGTCGTCTGTTAAAAGTTAAAACAAAGACGCGCTAGGATCGCGTCGCACGAGCATGTACCGCACCTTTGATGTTACCGACTCTAGATGGATGGGACGGACCAGCACAACGTGCCTGCGCTACCACGGACGAGACCCTTCCCACGGAGCGTGGTGCGTGCTGGTCCGCTTACGTCCGTAATATCGCCGACCGTGGGAAGCCGCTTTAACAGACTAACTAAAACTGATTTTACCTTATAACTTTTCCAAATATGCGTATTTCTTTACCTAAGCTGAGTCACTAATAGTCAACTAATAATATAAAGAATAGATGAAGTGATGCGCCGATGGGCGGAGTGATTTGTACAGGGCGTTAAAAATTCTTTATGCTGTAGTCTGTCAGACGGCACGTCTCCAGTTAAGGGTTAATTTAAATTATGGTAGTTTATGTATTATAAAAACTGGGCATAATTTTTATATAGTATATAATGAATATGATTTTTTTAGGACGTATTCCGTTTTGCAAGTGGTTTAAAAAATTTAGCAGGGCTATACAAGATTAAAATGGATTCTTTTAACCATGTAGATTATATTTTTGGAAAAGATGCTGAGACTTTGGTTTATCAACCTCTAATAAAATTTCTAAGCAACTATACAGAAAGTTTTTATGACAGTTTTGCCGTTATTAACCATAGAGGCTCTTAAAATGGTTATTCAGCGTAAATTTTCAATATTAATTACGTTTAACTTCTTAGTATATATGAAAAATTGTGATTTTATATTATTTAAAAAGGAGATGAGCTTTATTATATAAACTAGAAGATAATGAAATTAATATTTATTTAAAATCCAATGTAAATTTTAAGTTTGTAGTCGAATTTTAAAATAAAGAGAAACTTAAGAATATAGGTATTATTATTACACTGCCTGGAGTGATTGCCGGGTGGATTGAGTAGCTCTGCAATTACCACAGCCTGTTCCTGTAACGATAGATATTTTGCCTACCTTAGGGTAAGATCATGGGGGTATTAAGTTATGGGGGTTGAAATAAAACAAGCAAAATAAACTCTTCTTGTGAGAACGGCACTCAGAGTTTGTTAGGAGGGCTGGAGTCGTGGATACGTAGAATCAAAGGTGTTGGATTGGGACAACTACCAAAAAGATGGGACAAAAAGTCATGAATCTCTTGGGACAAATAAAGCAAAAAGAAACAGGAAACACCTCTAGTAATTTAATATGAGGCGCCACTTCGAAGTGCCTAATTATACCTATTACAACCACTAGTTGTAACTAGCAAAATAATTATTAAATATAAAAAAACATATCTTTATATAGATAGTAAAGATTATATATAATAGTTTTAAAAAAATTAACAAATGTTAAGAAACACAATTTAACATTTATTGGTGTTTTATTACAAACAGTTATAAAAATAATGGCACAAATTTACCTATAGATTAATAGTTACAGTTACAGGCTATCAACAAGCTCAAATTTAACAAAGCACCAGGTCCAGATATGATAACAGCAGAAATGCTTAAAGCCACAGAAGAAACCGGCGTAAAGTTACTTCATCTACTCTGTAACCAAATATGGCATTCCAAACAATGGCCTGAAGATTAGACAAAATCTACAATAACGACAATACATAAAAAAGGCAGCTTCCATAAATGCGGCAATTATAGAACTATCTCTCTTATATCCCATGCAAGCAAGATAATGCTACATATAATCAATGAGAGACTGAAAACAATCCTTCAAAGAGAAATTCCACAAGAGCAAACTGGATTTACGAAAGGTAGAGGCACTCGAGAACACCTGCTGAATATAAGACAGATAATCGAGAATTCTGGGGAATTCAACATCCCACTATACATCTGTTTTATAGATTACCGTAAAGCGTTCGACAGGGTCAAGTGGAGACACTTATGGCGAATACTAAAAGAAGTAGGCGTACCACAACATCTAATTACGCTTATAACTGAACTATATGAACACACTACTGGATCAGTTAAAGCCTACTTGACACACTTTCGAACGAGTTTCATCCAGAACGGGGTGTCAGACAAGGATGTATACTATCTCTACAATTATTCAATATATATGGGGAGTATATTATGCGAAGAGCACTTGAAGGATGGGAAAAGGGCATCTCAATAAATGGTCATAAACTAAACAACCTACGTTTCGCAGATGACACAGCCCTTCTTGTAAATAGTCAAGCAGAACTAATGGAACTTATACGACTGATCGAAAACGAAAGTCAAATATTTGGTCTGCAATTAAACATATCAAAGACAAATATCATGATTGTGGATAGACTACACAACAATCATCCACACATAACCACAATTGACCGTTTCGAGGTTGTGAGCTCATACTTATATCTGGGATCATTAATCACAAACACAGGATCATTACAAGAAGAGATTAAACGTAGATGTGATCTAGCTAAAGTTGCCACAGCAAAAATGACCAAAATATGGAACGACTGTCAAATTTCAAGAGCGATAAAGATGAGGTTGATCAACTGCTTAATATTCCCAATACTGACCTACGGATGTGAATCTTGGACTCTGAGACAATCGGAGAGAAGAAAGATAGACGCAACTGAAATGTTCTGTTGGAGACAAATGTTACGAATTCCTTGGACCGACCGTAGAACAAATAATTCAATTTTAAGAGAGCTAAAAGTTAGCCAACGACTCTCTAGTAAAGTCCATCTCCAACAATTAAAATATTTTGGGCATGTTATGAGAGCAAACACAGAAAACATGGAAAGACTCATAATACAAGGAAAGGTAGAAGGCCGAATATCACGAAGAAGATCCCCAACAAGATGAATAGATCAAATTACAGGAATATGCCAAAGACCTATGCACGAATTAAAAGAAATGACCAGAGACAGAGATCTCTGGAGACGGACAATACACGACATCACGTCGACCACTACACTCCCCCTGGGGGGTCAGTATTGAAGAGAGAGAAAGAGAATAGTTACAGAGAACAAGAATAATAAAAAAAACTTACATGTGTCCTAGCCGTTTACAAACTCTGTTGCTACAAAACTTACAAAATTGCATGGAGGTTAACCTTCTTTAAAAATAAAACAAACTAAATTCAAAAAATAATAAAACGAGCTGTCATAAGTTAACAATAAATTAAAAAAAACTGAACACACAAATTGAAAGCTGAAGTCAAACCCTAATATTTTATAATTTATTAATTGTAAAAATAAAACAATGAAAACTTTGTTTTCAAACTTCCACAAAATTTATTTAAACTATTATCACTACAGCTGTTTCGGCTGATTGCCTTTCTCAAGTGATCTATGTTTGGCATGCATTTACAATTTATAGTCTTTAATGAAATAGGTTGAGGAGGGGAGAACTGTTTGTCTCAAGTTGGTCCTTCAGAATTTTATCTCTGTTTTTTAATTTGTTGATTTCCATAGATTCTAACAAAGATAGCTTAAGGCCTTTATTTTGAATGTGAAGAATTTTAAATTTGTCATTAAAAGAATGATTATGATTTAGAAGGTGAAGTGCATATGTCGAATCTGTTTTTCTATTATTGAAAGCCCTTTTATGTTCTGCTATTCGTTTATTAAAGTTTCTACCAGTTTGAACGTTTGACCGAATAGCAGAACATAAAATGGCTTTCAATAATAGAAAAACAGCGAGATTGAAGAAGCACTTCAACTGGAAACAAACTGGAACATCAGAATTGCTGCAGGCGACACAAATCTCTTAAATACTTTTTTAACCTCCTCTGTAATTAGACATACTTCACAATTTACTTTTCACTGCTACATATGTCCATAAAAAGGGCCAAAAACAGAAAACTACAAATTCGACAGATGAATTTGGATCCATACCTGAGCCTACATCGACCTAAGTAAGAATGGCGAAAGTATCTTAAAAATTCGTTCACATAACTTAAAATAACAAAGCACTTGAACGATTGTTGAAACACAAATCCTTTATTAGAAAACGCAATTCAAGCAGTTCGAATAAAACATTAAAAGAAATACCGAGGAAGTAACATCTGTAAAATATAAACTAACTATAAAATGGTTTATATTAACGACTTGGGGACGTGAAAAGAACGAAATATTATTTTTGGGTTTCAAATTGAACGATACGAACTAAGAAACATTGCAAAAATTATTATTATAATGCATATATGACGGAATTTTAATATATTACATATACGAGGAAATTTCAATATATTTCAAAGAATCAATGAATTGCAAATGCTACATTCCAAGCCCGGATAAAATGTGAATGGTGATTGGCAAGGTTAGTAACCTTTAAAGAAACAATTTACAGCCTTGAAACTGGAATGATAATATGAAGACGACTACTGCAAGAAATAATGACAAGCAAAAAACATCCAAAACCCAGATGAGAATTACTACTTGGAATATCAGATCGCTCAACTCAAGGGACCAAGAAATAACTCAAGTTCTAAAAAAGAAGCAAACAGACATTTGTGCTCTACAGGAAACAAAAAAGAAAGAAAAAGGTCAATCAAAATTAGGTGAATATATACTAATCTTATGAGCATACCTCAAGAGTGGCTGTTGTCTACATTCGTTACACTGCTAAAGAAATCTAATGCTAAAGAATGTTCAGAACATCGAACAATATCTTTAATGAGCCACCTACTAAAGATATTTCTAAAAATCATCCACAACCGAGTTTATCAAAAGTTGGAGTCAGATATTAGTAATACACAGATGGGGATCAGAAAAGGGCTTGGTGATCGAGAAGCTCTCTTCGGTTTGAATGTTCTTACACAAAGATGCCTAGACGTTAATCAGGAGGTACATACGTGTTTTATCGATTTTGAAAAAGCGTTTGACAGAGTACGCCATGATAAGCTTAGAGAGATTCTTGAAAGGAAGGACATAGATAATAAAGATCTACGAATAATTCTCAATCTATATTGGAATCAGAAAGCTAACATCAAAATAGAAACTGAAACATCACAAGCAATAGAAATACGTAGACGAGTACGACAGAGTTGCATTTTGTCACCTCTGTTATTTAATGTATATAGTGAAAGCATCTGTCAGGAAGCCCTTTTACAAGCAAACGGAGGAATCGTAATTAATGGAGAGATTGTAAATAATATTCGATACGCGGACGACACTGTACTAGTTGCAAGAACAGTAGAAGAATTACAAAGATTACTTACAGACATAAATATTGCTTGCAACAATTATGGTATAAATATCAATATTAAAAAAACCAAGTATATGGTCTTCAGTAAAAACATGACACAACCAGCGTATATTAGTATAAACGGCACTCAAGTTGAAAAAGTATCAAGTTACAAATACTTGGGAACTTTAATAAACGAAACTGGAGACCAAAATTGCCAGGGCCACCTTCAGAAAGATGAGAAAATTCTTCTGCAACAGAAATATAAGCATCCCTCTACGATTTAGAATGCTGAGAGGCTATGTATTTAACACGCTATTATACGGTGTAGAGGCCTGGACTCTCAAACAGAACAACATGAAAAATATTGAAAGTTTCGAGATGTGGTGCTACTGTCGAATGCTGAAGATTAGTTGGGTTGAAAGAATAACAAACTGTGAAGTAATACGAAGAATAGGAAAAGACCCAGAGATTTTGTTAACGCTAAAGCGAAGAAAACTCGAATATTTTAGTCACCTGATGAGAGGACATAAATACGCATTACTTCAAAATATAATGCAGGGAAAAATAGAGAGAAAACGGAATCCAGGCCGTAGAAGAATGTCATGGTTGCGGAATTTGAGAGAGTGGTTTGGCTGCACCACTAATGAACTCTTTAGGTCAGCCGTAAACAAGGTCAGAATAGCCTTGATGATTTCCAATCTCCGATAGGAGTGGCACAAAAAGAAGAAGATAC